CGATTAAAGATCTTTGCCGGAAAATTAAACTTCATAAAAATAAAAAAGTCTATTTGAATTATACAGCAAGATTCTTTAATAGTTTCAAGACTCGTTCATTTTAACGGGGGAGAGTTAAGAATATGCCAACTCGCTGAAATCAATGAAATCTTGATTGGGCCCATAATCTTCTTTTTTTAAAAAAAAACTGACACTGGTTATAAAAGGGGGAGGGTAGTTTAAGCTTTTTCCATCAGCCTGCAGAACCAGCTCAAGTGATCCTCAGTTCTATTCCACATGTTGGAAGGAGTACAGCTACACTTCGGGGAGCTGAACTTCCAAGGACCCTAGAAAAAGGACATTAGTGACTATTGTCGCAATGAATGGTGGCTGGCTCTCTGCAAGGCCAGCCACTTCCAGAGACAGTGTTGTTTGGTCATAATTGGCCAAGGAACCCCCTGGTGTGCAAAGCATTTGTCAAATAATGCTTGTTTACAAATAAACCTCCAAATGGTACCAACTGGCCATTAGCGAATAAACCCTGGTTCACTAATGCCATGTCCCTCTTAAAAGGGCAAGAACAGAGGGTGAACGGAAGCAGCCAAGTAGACAAGGTGAACCAATCCTGTTTCTGACTGCATAATTCATTGGTTATTTTCCAACCTTCCCCCCCCCCAACCCAATCCTCTTCCAAATTTGGCTCTGCAGTTTCAAGCCAATAACCTGCTCAGTTCCACAAAGTCAGTCATTCCTGCAGCGCGTATGTTGACTTTGTAGGATGTGACTAGGGTTAATTTCATTTTGCCATGCTAATGAAATATTAGAAGGGCATAACTGAAAAGGCTTCCCACACATCTCAAAGTTATGAGCTGCAAGATACACTGTCCCAAAAGATGGATCTGGGAAAACAGTCTGTTACAGCAGCTCTGACTCTCTCCCGGAGCTGAAATTTTCAGTCAGCACTGTGCCACACAACTCTGGGCTTTTTGACCGAGTACTTTCCAGTCAGAAACTATGTTTTCCTAAGGGAATAAACCCATGCTTTCCATCTAAGCAGAAAGACACCCAGGCCCCTCACTAAAACATGCTGCACAGAGCAAAATTACAGCATCAACTGATTTCTGCCAAGGCATAAATACAATCACTTCCTAGCTATATTTTGCCTACCTCAATCCATCTTTCTGGGAGTGCCAACTTTTTGAAAACACACACATACAGTATATTGTATTTACAAATACACCTAATTGCCCATCAGGAAACTCTGTCAGTCTAGGACTTAATTCAGAAATCGTGCCACACCATGGTTGAGGAAGCGAAACCATGATATGGCATGGCACTGCATTGGCAAACCATGGTTTGTGGTCATCTAGCAAATAAAAAGCCACAATATGTGTTAAATGCACTTTGGTGTAACATATGCTTTGGCAAACTGTAGCCATGCTACTGATCCATCTCTATAGGTCACTATGTCTAGAGACGAGTACTAAATAGGGGAGATCTTAACCATGGTGGCCTTAGGTTAAAGGTAAAGGGACCCCTGACTATTAAGTCCAGTCATGACCGACTCTGGGGTTGCGGCGCTCATCTCACTTTATTGGCCGAGGGAGCTGGCGTACAGCTTCTGGGTCATGTGGCCAGCATGACTAAGCTGCTTCTGGTGAGCCAGAGCAGCGCACGGAAACGCCGTTTACCTTCCCGCCGGAGTGGTACCTATTTATCTACTTGCACTTTGACGTGCTTTCGAACTGCTAGGTTGGCAGGAGCAGGGACCGAGCAACGGGAGCTCACCCCGTCGCGTGGATTCGAACCGCTGACCTTCTGATCGGCAAGTCCTAGGCTCTGTGGTTTAACCCACAGCGCCACCCGTGTCCCTTGGCCTTAGGTTGCAAAGTGTAATTAGCACAAACCACCATTTGGGTTTATTTCCAAACTGATCCCATCTCTCTCAATGATCAGCAATGGAGACCTGGCTTAGGAGATTTCTCCCACAAAGAAAGGACTCCCAGCAGATTTCACAACCATTCTCCTAAGTAAGATGCTTGTGAACATTTTCCAAGCCCCAAATCCATCAGCCTCTGATTACCATATCAGCACAGATCATGGGGGGGTGAGAAAGGTAAAATTGCCTTTGTGTTAGAAATGCCTAATATCCTCCATTCAGTCATCCAGATGATAGCATTCAGCACAGAAATATTATTCCACAAAGGGCAGATCAAACAGTTCAATCAAACATCAATATAACTATAGACACAGTTATTCTAATTATTGAGGCTAATGCCCCATGCACAAGTATTCAGGTGTTACAATAACTTATTCTAACAGCAAACTCATGTGTTTGGTGCCGACAGCATTGCAGCCAAAAAAAAAAGGCAACTGTAGGGTGGAGGAGATATCCCTGAGGTTTGCAAAATGACAATCTTGAAACTGAGGGCAGTGAAGGCTAAACACCCTCAGTAGCCACAGAAAGGAAATGTCCTGCTGAGAGAGAATGGCTGACGGGAACACTGCAGCAGTTTGTTGCAGACACCACAATTTAGGCTTTTCCATGGGGGTGGGATTACACCTATAAAGAAGGTTTTGTTTTGTTTTGACAAATCATTTTCTTCTGGGCGATAGTCAAGAAACCTTTCTCTCAGCTCACATCACATAGAGGCATTGCCAGTAAGGCTTTGACTATCAAACCACGCAATATAACAAGACCAATTCTCATCTATATAAGCTAGCGACAAACCTTGTTATGCGTCGGCTTCAAAATAAAAGAACTATTAGATGCCAATAATCTCCCAAAAGCATCTGGCTTTCCTGTTGCAAAATTGCTCATTTACTGTCCTGTTCCCAGCACACACAAACACTCCCATCAGATCTCACTGTATCTTGATTTCATTGCAAAGGCTATCATCCCAGGAATTATGAAAGTAACTGAAAGAGATAAGAAATCCCACTTCTCTTTGGTGGCAGGAAGAACTGGGTTTCCTCACCCCTCGCTGAAGAGTTTCTGCTCCCCCCCCTCACACCTTTGACCCAACACATGCAAAAATGGCACCTGAGTCTTATAACCCCCACGTAAGCTCGCCATACCAGAATCTGGAGGGGGGAAATGCTATAAAAATAGGGGAGGTCATTTATAAGCACCTCTTTATACAGACTTCATACAGCTCAAGTGAAGTGAGCAGAATGAACTGGCTTTCTTACACACGAAGTAGCTTTACAAATACTATCCAAGCCGTTCCCATACCCTTCAACCAACTCACATGCAGGAATTCTAAAGGCACCTTCAACTTTTAATTTTATAAAATTATATTAAAAAAATTATAGAGGGGGGGGGTGTTCAGTTGATAAGAGCTAGGAATAAGACCTGCCAGCTATTGCCACCGACGCAGACATACGCCTTAGGAAGGGACAGGCGGACAACCTGATTTCTGGATGCTGGGTTTTTCTTTGATCATCCTAGCCCCACAGAACCTGAGGGGAAGCACTTCTTCTCCCAGACTAATCCCCTGCATTCCAGAAGAGTCATCTCCACAGCTCTACACACTGAATCTTCTTCACAATGTGATCCTGCCAGCCCAAAAGACAAAAACAGTATTGAACAGCCCACTGAAGCAAAGTCTTCTAAGCCTGCGGTGGCCACCACAATCATGGAAAGATGCTGAAATCATGTATGATTTAGCTGAGATTCCTGCGTCGTAGGGGGTTGGTCTAGATGATCCTTAGGGATCCCTTGCAATTCTGTGAAAGCGGTTCTTTCTGGACCATCAGCTATCAGTGTGAGTCCTACTCAGAAGGCCACTTCCCCCCTCGTATTCTGCAAAACAACTACCACCCCTTATACTGTATGTATAACCAGAAGTTGCTTAGATTAAAATGCAAACAAATCTTCACTCACACACTTGCAGTGAAAGATCAGGAAAAAATTGCCCACACTTTTACCTCTAGGTTTTTAAAAAACCTCCTTTTGTCAATTTTTTTATTTTTTTTATTTTTGCTCCTCTGCTTCAGTATCAACATCAGCCAAGCATGTAGGCGTTAAAAGCAGGTGAAGATTTTCCTGGTCTGGGGGGGGGGGAGCAATGAGGAAAACCTTCGCTGGGGAGATTTCTGCCTAGATGTAACAGGAGCCAGGCAAGTTCTTTCCCCCGCAAAAAGTGCTGCTCTTATTCACCCCCCTACCCAGTACTATTTTTCTTTAAAAAATGTTTAGGGGTACTCTCATTTTCCTACTCATCATATTGAAATGCTGCCCCTCAGTGAGGCCAAACTTAGATTCACAAAAGGTTATGGAGTGTGCATACCCCCTGCGTACCCCCAGAAAAAAGCACTACCCCTACCAGTCGGGAGGATGAGAGGGCAAGTGGGGGCGGGGGGGGGGTGAGAGAAAAGCGAAGGCGAGAGAAGCTGCTCCTGAAATGATCTTAGAGATGAGAGGGGGAGATGAAAAAGAAGAGCTCGCTTCATGCCAGTGCTTTGCCCAAGCTCCCATCTCCAGCACCGCTACCTCCCACACGCAACAAACCCGGGAAGATGTGTCAAACCTACGGCCAGGGCGCCCGTGAGCAGGTGCAGAGTGCATTGCCTCCGGGCGCCTGTCTCATACGGCGGAGATCGTGGGCACAACCCCCAGATCGGAAGGGCACGCGAATCTTAATCTCAGGGTCGTGGGTTCGACACCCGCGTTGGGCAGATTCCAGCATTGCAGGGGGCTGGACTAGATGACCCTTGTGGACCCTTCCAACTCTCCCATTCTATCATGAACTCTGCCGGACGAGCCCCAAACCCCTCTCCTCACCCTTGAGAAGACGGGCTGGAAGAGAAGAACCAACGTGGAGAAAGCTGCCCTTTTTATTTTCATCCTTCCCATCCGGGCAGCTGGATGGACTGCGCCTCCGAAGCCCCGCGAAGCCCGATGCGGGCCGCCAGGAAAGGGTCACGGGCGCCCCGGCAAGCACTCGCTCGCTCGCTCGCCCCCCCCCCATGCCCCGCTACGCCCGGCGCCCTCCCGATCCCTCGCCCGGCGCGCTCACCTTGGCTGCCGGCCGCGCTCCGGAGCGTCCCGCCGGGCAGGAGCAGCAGCGGCAGCAGCACCGCCAGAGGCGGCGCCGGCGGGCGGGCGCGCAGCATCCTCGCTCCGCCCGGGATGGGCTCCGCGCGCGGGCTGCTGCGGCGGCGGCGGCTGCCTCGGCCGGGTCGTCGCCCTCCTCCGCCTTCTCCTCCTCGCCGGAGACGCTGCGGAACCTCCTCGGCTCGGCGTCTGGCCCTGCAGCCGCTCCTCCTCGTCCTCCGTCCCGGTAGCGAGCGGGGATGGCGACGGTGTTGGGAAGCCCCGGCGGCGCGTCTCCAGCAGCGCGCCCGAAACTCTGAGCCCCTGCTTCGCCTTGGTGCTGCTGCTGCTGCGCGCAGCCACCAGCGCGGCGGCGGGGGCAGGGGCGGCGCGCTTAGCCCCGCCCTTGGCTCCTCCCCTTTCCTTGACGACCCCCCCTCCCCCTCGCTAGCATCGCCAAAAAGGTGGAGCTGCCAGAGGGCCCTCTCTTCTGACCCCCCAAGCTGGTTCCCAAGGGTGCCAGCGCGCGGCTATGGAACTAAATGGTGCGCCTTGCTTGCGCGCAAAGTGGGGAGGAAGAGGAAGGTGTGGTGTGTGTTTTTATAAAGCATTTATCATAGCGGCCCTCGAGGATTCTCGCATGAGCTGCCTGGGATTCCCTCTTGACAGCCTTGGAAAGGCGATCGGCGTCCTGACCGTGCGCTGCGCAAACGGTGAGCTGGAGAGCGCGGCTTGCCCCGGGCGAGCGGGCAGTTGAATGGCAGAGGCAGTCTTCGTGAAGGACATGCGAATAAGCTGAAGGAGACCGGCTGGGCCCAAACGAACGAAACGAATTAACATAGCGACCCATATCACGATCGGCGCACAGGCAGGATCGGCACATAGCTACGCAAATGTCAGATGAGGGTCACCTGGCTTGCCAGTGGTACATGTGGAAAGCAATGTGGAAAGCAAGCCTTGTGATGCAGCAGCAAAAAAAGCTAATGCTATTCTAGGTTTTTGATTATTACTCAAGGGGAGTAATAATCCCACTCTATTCTGCCCTCTATTGGGGATGTGGGTGGCACTGTGGGTTAAACCACAGAGCCTAGGACTTGCTGATCAGGTGGTCAGCGGTTTAAATCCCCACAACGGGGTGAGCTCCCATTTCACTATCTCAGCTCCTGCCAACCTAGCAGTTCAAAAGCACATCAAAGTGCAAGTAGATAAATAGGTACCGCTCTGGCAGGAAGGTAAACGGCGTTTCTGGGTGCTGCTCTGGTTCACCAGAAACAGCTTAGTCCTGCTGGCCACATGACCCGGAAGCTGTACGCCGGCTCCCTCGGCCAGTAAAGCGAGATGAGTGCTGCAACCCCAGAGTCGGTGATGGCTGGACCTAATGGTCAGGGGTCCCTTTACCTTTACCTTTATTCTGCCCTGGCCAGACCCCACTTGAAGTACTGTGTCCAGTGCTGAGTGCCACAATTTAATAAGGTTTGCAAGCTGGGATGTGTGCAGAGGAGGACCACCAAGATGATCAAGGGTTTGGAAACCAAGCCTTATGAGGAACGCTTGAAGGACTTGGGTATGATCAGCCTGGAAAACAGGAGCCTGAGAGGAAATACAGTGGTGCCTCACAAGACAAAATTAATTCGTTCCGCGAGTTTTGTCGTCTTGCGATTTTTTTCATCCTGCGAAGCACTGTGTCGGGAAAGTTTTGGAAAAGCTTCAAAAATCACCAAAGTCTTCAAAAACCTCAAAAAAGGCTACCACACCGCGTGCTATGAGTTGCTCCTCGAAGTCAAGTCGCAACTGTATTAACGGTTTTAAGAAAAAGGAAACAAACTTGCAAGACGTTTCCGACTTGCGAAGCAAGCCCATAGGGAAAATCGTCTTGCGAAGCAGCTCAAAAAACAAAAAACCCTTTCGTCTAGCGAGTTTTTTGTCTTGCGAGGCATTCGTCTTGTGAGGTACCACTGTATATGATAGCCATCTTCAAATATCCGCATGAAGGATAGAATTGGGACCCTGAGTCCTCTCTCCCCCATGGCCAAGCTGACACCTTTCTGGGAAGTCCTCAAGCACAAGGCCTGCTTTTTTCTATCCTAGAGGTAGTATACCATTCCTGTTCCACACCACACTTTTAAACACTGGGCTTCCTCTGAAGAACCTTAGGAGCCCTAGTTTCATAAAAGGTTTGAGGAATTGTAGCTGTGTGAGAAGAAAACTAAAGTTCCCAGGATTTTTTTTTGTTGGCGGAAGCCATGTGTTAGGCATCCTTAGCCAGCCTACGTGACATGAACAAACTTTTGTAAAATCAAAACTTTTGATTAAAACACGGTTGCCGCAAAAAGAAATAATAAAATACAGCTGTAGAAATAAATAGCAAGAATGGGTAAACAACAGCGGGGGGGGGGCAGAATAACATCTCGTTTTAAAGGTAGGACCAGTGTTTTTAGGAGAGTTAAGAGTTTAGAATCACAGTTACAAGTTAAGAAACAGAGTTACTAAGCTGTGGGCTGGAGAGAGAGTCAGAAAAGCAGGATGCTGACGTCTGTTTTTGAACCTAGTAAGGCAGCAACGGGAGAGGCCAGAACCTCTTTGAATGTAATGCTGGAGATTCCTCCATTGAATTCAGGTTGTATATATGTGTAAATAAACCATGGGTCATAAAGACATCCCAGAACCCCGCCGTGCCTCATTGTCAAAAAGGAAACACAGACCCAAGAGCAGACTTGGGTACAATGGTGCCCTGTGTGAGCCCAAAATTTGGCACCCCTCCCCACCCCAGCCCTCATGCTGCCTTCCTGAAGGTGGGTAAGGAGGCGCCTGGCTTTGGGAAGGAGGCACGAGGGCTCTGGCAGGGTTCTGGAGCCCTACCACTTCCTTCCCAAAGCAGGGAAAGCTCTAACTAGGTTTTGGGAAGGAGCTGGGAGGACCCTAGGAGCTTGTCAGAGGCTTGCATCTCCTTCTCAGCGCCCAGTGGGGGCACACAGCTCTAAATCTGCCCCTGACAGACCCTGATAAGCACATCTGGTACACCTGGAATCTCACACCACTTAGAGATTGGGGTGGCATGTAAAAATATGTTGCTTGGGAGCTCAGCTTTTGTGTTCATGTCCTGCTTGCAGGTTCCGCTTGGCAAAGAAGAAGAAGAAGAGGAGGAGGAGAACACTGGTCTTCGAGTGCTCCAGTTGGAGAACAGCCTTTACCAAAGGTGTCATTGACTTTGAAGATGCTCAAACTCAGGACGAAAGGGAGAAACACGCTAAGAGTAAGGCACACTTGGCAAACCCTCACCATGATCAACTCCCACCCAGAAACTTATGTCCCCACTGTGTGGAAGGATGTGTGGATCCAGAATTGGCCTCCACAGTCACTTACAGGCTCACTGTTAAAACCGTGTTTATGGAAGACAGTCTTACTCGGCTACGACTGATCACCAAAGAAGAAGAAGAAGGCTAGATGGGTTTCTGGTCTGATCTAGCTGGGCTCCTCTTCTGTTGTCTTCCCAATAGTCCTTTGGGGCTCACCAACAGAGGAGATGAAACCAGAGAGCACTTTGCTTGGCGCATGCCTTGCCTTGTCTCCACATGCTTTGCTGAGGCTCTCAAAAGCTCTAAAATGATTCGTGAGGAAGAAGTCATGCTGAGTCTTCTTCAGCAAGGCCTCTTCTGTTCTGCGCTCTATTTTTTGTTGTTGTTTAGTCGTGTCCGACTCTTCGTGACCCCATGGACCAGAGCACACCAGGCACCTCTGTCCTCCACTACCTCCCGCAGTTTGGTCAAACTCATGCTGGTAACCTCGAAAACACTATCCAACCATCTCGTCCTCTGTCGCCCCCTTCTCCTTGTGCCCTCCATCTTTCCCAGCATCAGTGTCTTCTCCAGGGAGTCTTCTCTTCTCATGAGGTGGCCAAAGTACTGGAGCCTCAGCTTCAGGATCTGTCCTTCCAGTGAGCACTCAGGGCTGATTTCCTTAAGAATGGATGCGTTTGATCTTCTTGCAGTCCATGGGACTCTCTGCGCTCTATAGTTTTATGTTAAATAATGCTATCTACCAATTTACTGGGAGCAGAAGTTAATCTAACCACCGTGCGATACCACAGATCCCTGCTAGATCTCTTATTAAATCTTGGCATCATGTTACTTGAATTCCAGTCCTCTGGTAGCCAGTCTTAGAGATGTTCCTTTTTTTTTAAGAGGACCAGCAATTTAATATTTGAGTTCTTTCAAGAACTCTTGGGTAGATACCACACTGGCACCAGCTCTGCTGAAGAAATGGGGTTGCATTGGATGAATGCTCACAGATGACAGTGCTGAAATAAAATTTATTTAGCCTTTGACATTTACTTCCTCTTGGCACTTACAGAGTTTTATAATCTTCTAATAAGTCATCGTTTAGCCTTGCTTAGCACTGGTATACTCTGATGTCTCATCTTTCCTGATTAAAAAACCCCAACAACCTTATTCCTATATCTGTCATTCCCAGAACTCCCACAGTGTCCTTCTGGGAATGCTATGCCCAAACCAGTCATCCTTCCAGTATAGTAAAGTGAGCAGTTATTGCCATCCAGCTTACAATGCATTTGTTGACAAGGTCTGAACTGCTGCAGGTAATAAATTTTTGCACAACTGTGTGCTATTCAACTGTGAATAAGGGGGCAAGGAAAAGACTTTTCAAAGGCAGGAAGCAGGATTCAAACACAAACAGCAACAAAGCAGCTCCATTCTAAAAAACATTTGTGCTGTGTATTTCCTTTTTTTTTGTAATATTTCACAACTACAATGGGCACAATTCAGCACTTTTGTTACGTTGCAGTGGGAGAGATTCAAGCGCATGCTTAGCATTCACTTTGAAATAATAAGACTTCGAAATATCTAACTTTGGATGCATCAACACAACCATCCCTCCTTTCTTCTCTCAAGGAAAATGATTTCCACCTTTGACATGCAAAGTTAGTAAACAGCACACAGGCCTGAAATATATGTGTGTTACACACACACACACACACACACACACACACACACACACCCCACATAAACAGGAACCCAGTGGTCAGCTGGTCCCCCTTGAGAGTGTCAGGCAAAAGGCAAAAAGATGGAGAATGATGGCAGGTGGTACCAACTTCTTCTAACTTTGTTCCTAACTTCTTCCCTGTTGAGGTCTACAGTCTGCGGAACAGGAAGCTGACAGCCAGTGCCATTTGCAGGACTGTATGCTGAAGTGATCCAAAGAAAAGCAGAGCAATACATTTGCTACCAGCTTAGCTGCAGGAGTTGCCAGAAGGAGGTGCACAAAGTGCTATCCAACTGTCTTAGGGACTGTAGGGAGTAGGTGGTGCTGTGGTCTAAGCCACTGAGCCTCTTGGGCTTGCTGATCGGAAGGTTGATGGTTCAAATCCCCGCGACAGAGTG